CTTCCTTACATAAACAGGGGTCACAGGTTTTCCCCTCCTTATTTAGCCCCATGAATTTTGGAAAAAATGTTGCTAATATTGTTAATTTTGGAAAGTAAAAAAATGGTGTAAGTTAGGAAATCTGCATTATTGTAAAGAAAATTTCAGTGTTAAATTTATTCCCCAATTTGGATATTATATGTCTTAGATTTTGTAACTTAATTTATTCCAGATGAAACTTCAAATTACAGACCTTAAATACAACATGTGTAATCTCTAGCCAAAGTTATGGATATTGTCACCTTTGGAAGGCATTCCTTTGACCTTTTGATATTACACTTATATAATTATAGGTTTTAACTCTCTTTGTTTTATGGCAATATTTATTTCTAGGTGGGCATACAAAAGAAATACTCAGTTTGATTGAACATCTTGGAGAAAATTATCAGCCTAGATATTACATTATGGCAAATACAGATAAGATGAGTGAAGATAAAGTACAAACATTGGAGTCTTCCCGGCAAAATGAGGTAATGTCAAACACCAGCTGTGCTTTCTTTATTTTCTTTTTTGACAAAATTACATATTTATGTCTTCCCACTATTTCAGCATATTTCAAGTATTCAGGGTTTCTGGGAATTCATTTATACTGAAAAATATGTGCATCTATATACATGTACATTATATTTTATGAATTGTTGTACGTCCTTGGAGCTGTAATTTAACTCATTTCTTTCTTTTTATTTCAGTTTAAAATATACAAGATTCCACGGAGTCGAGAGGTGAAACAGTCATGGATAACAACAGTTTTATCAACTCTTAATGCTTCACTTCACTCATTCCCTCTAGTGTTCAAAATTAGACCAGATATTGTAAGTAGATTGTTGCTAAAATATTGATTGTTTCTAATTGCTAAAATATTTTTTTTATCCCTTAATATTAAACAGCATTCTTTTGAGGTTCAGTGGTTGTAAGGCTGGATTTATAACACTTATGTTTAAATGAATGTTGCAAAAAGTGAATAAACATGGACTATCACTACTATACATAGTAAGTTAATTTTATGTATTGTGAATTTGTGATAACAGAAAATATTCCATTTCTGTTTCAGATTTTATGTAATGGTCCTGGAACATGCATACCTGTCTGTTTCGCTGGCATTCTCTTAAAGGTAAAAGTTTTATTTTGTTGATCAACACTGTAAAGGTCATGTACGGACTTTTCAGCTTAACTGGCGGAGGAAGACTTAAGATGGCTGTTTGTGCATTGCATTAGATACAAACTGCACCACCTTCCATAATCTCTGAATATCTTCCTCACATGAAATGATCTAAAGTGCCCTCCCACAATAGTGAGAGGTAAGAGATTGAAGTCAGCAACCTTGACCACCCTGATCGCAGTTTTATTTTGGTGTTTTTAAGTATTTTAGTTAAAAGATTAGAGAAATTGTTTATGGTCAAAGTAAGACTGCTATACTTACAGAAATGAGATATACATACAAAAAACGGATGCTGGCTTTGGAAACAATTGATGAAAGTAAATAAAATCTTTGCACATTAAAGCAAAGATGTAAATTTTTTCATTTGTTTTGCAGTAATGCAGTTCATCTTTGTTTAAATTTGGAACTGATATTTTCTCTTTTTATTGTAGATGTTTTATGGAGTAAAGGTGATCTATGTAGAGAGTATATGTCGGGTGGAAACTTTATCTCTCTCAGGAAAAATACTCTACCATTTTGCTGATACTTTAATTGTCCAATGGCCACAACTCCAACAAAAATATCCAAAATCTTTGTACATTGGACGCATTGTTTGAGGAGCAGAGTCTGTGTACTTGGTACGCTTTGTTTGAGGAATAGAAAGAATATAATCTGTGTTTAGGACTTGGGGAATAGTTTACTGGGCAATTTTGAGTTAAATGATTTCATCACTGAAAAAAAAAAATAATAATACATTAATTTTGTACTATTGATAATGCAGTAACTTAATAATAAACTGTAATAAAAATACCTGTAAATCTAGTAAAAGCATCATTTATTACCATATGTCATTATCATTATGTTTGACAAAGATGTTATACAAATGTAGCAGTGAAAACTGGTATTTCTTGTAAACAGTAAAGTGACATTATACTCATTTTTATGCCCCCACAGAGTGGGAGCATATAGCGTTGCACTTGTCCGTCCGTCCGTCTGTCCCAAAATCTTGTGAACGCAACTCCTCTTAAACCGGAATTTTCGCTGCGACCAAATTTAACAGAATTATGGCCCTTTGTTGAAGTTTCACTATATACTATGTAGAAATTTTGTGAACGCAACTCCTCTTAAACCGGATGGCAGATTTTGCTTAAACTTCCAGAGATGAACAACCTTAATGTGTAGATGGTAGTAAAGGAAGGAATTTTAGCTGCAACCAAATTTAAAAGAATTATGGCCCTTTGTTGATTTTTTCACTATATACTATGTAGAAATTTTGTGAACGCAACTCTTAAACCGGATGGCAGAATTTGCTATAACTTCCAGGGATGAACAACCTTAATGTGTAGATGGTTGTAAAGGAAGGAATTTTTGCTGCGACCAAATTTAACAGAATTATGGCCCTTTGTTGATTTTTAGTTTTCAACTTGTGGCACATGTAGTCCAAAAAATATTTGACCTAGGATCATAAGATTGACAGAACAGTGGCGTGTGGGGGCATCCGTGTCCTATGGACACATTTCTAGTTTTACTTTTAAGCCGAGATCCATATTTTGTATATTTCAAAAGATTGACATTTTGATGGGGGTTGGGTAATAAATGATAATTATAATTGTTTAGGATAATATATAAAACCTGCATATAATATGAAAAGACTACCACACGCTTTTTTTATGAATTGAAAATTACAGATAATCTCCTAGGGATATTTATAGATATTTATGGTGGGTTTTTAATTACTCAATTGTCTTTTATTATAAAATTAAAAACAATTATAACAAAGTGAAAAGTGAATTTAATTTTACCTGAACACTCGCCATCTACTCTTGTATGGGCATAATGTCATTTGACAATGTAAACAGTTCGTACACAAGTGGTTTCACATTGATCACCATGTGGACCTTTGTCTTCTTGTTGAAGATACAAATGTATTTTACCAACAATTTAAGGTACAGTTGCCAAAACTCTTTAATAAATTCCTGTTAAACAGTCTCTCATTGTTGTTTTTTGTCATTTAGTAAAAGGTTGAAATAACAATATAATGACATTGAAAGTAAGACAGAAGCTTTATATTGCAAATAAGTTCATGGGTCAGTGATTATATTGGTAAATTATCAATTAGGTCAACAACTCAGTGATGTTACTTTCTATGCTATATCTACATTTTTGGCAGATTGTAACTCAAGATATTTGCACCATGGAGTTGCGCAATCATTTTTATTTGAAAGGTGAATTAAGTACATAATTTAATATTTTAACAAGACCAACTAGAACTATCGCTGAATGCGATTTATACCCCCACCAATGTCCTTGACAGAAGACGACTTGGAAGGTGGTTAAGGGAATAACTTTAGTGGCACAAATGCATATACATAAAAAGAAATTATCTCTGGTGAAAAAAAGACTAATTGTACAGGTAATAGTATAAATATATATTGTCAAATCATGATCGAAACAGTTACAAATAACCTTTCATTTTCCCAATTTACTAAACATTTTCTAAGTCAATTTTTGACCTTCAAGTGTGGCCTTGACCTTAAGCTGTCACAAGGGTAAGATGGGTTCTGCACATTGCCCAGTTGGGGTGAACATTTGAGTCAAGTTTGAAGAAAATCCTTCCATTAGTATAGAATTTATAGAGAGAACACGACATATTGTCTAGTATTTGATAGTATGTAAATTTGAAGACTTAAAAAGGGGCATAACTTTATTAAAATGCAATACAGAGTTATGAAACTTGACCAGCATATCTTTATTGTGACACTTCATATATATTTTAAGTTTCAAGCAAATACCTTTTCTAGTTTCAGAAATATTCAAATACATGTTAAAATTTAAGAATATTTTCTAAGTCAATTTTTGACCTTCAAGTGTGACCTTGACCTTAAGCCGGCAAAAGGGTGACATGGGTTCTGCACATTACCTTGTTGAGATGAACATTTGAGCCAAGATTGAAGAAAATCTTTCAATTAGTGTAGGACTTACAGAGCGGACACAACATACTGTCTAATATTTGATTGTTTGATATTTGGCCTTCAATTGTGACCTTGACCTTGAGCTGACACATAGGCAACATGGGTTCTGCACATCCCCTTGTTGAGGTGAACATTTGAGCCAAGTTTGAAGAAAATCTTTCAATTAGTGTAGGACTTACAGAGTGGACACGACATACTGTATTATATTTGATTGTTTGATATTTGACCTTCAATCTTGACCTTGAGCTGACACATGGGTTCTGCACATCCCTTTGTTTAGGTGAACATTTGAGCCAAGTTTGAAGAAAATCCTTCAATTGGTATAGGATTTATAGAGCGGACACAAAAATGGAGACTGACGGACGGAACGACCGACGGACGGACGCGACAAAGCAAATCCATTATAGCCCCCCCCCCACACACACACATTTTGTGGTGGGGGTATAAGAATTAAATCTTTACACATTAGATTACCGGTAAATGTTGCCACATCTTTTCATTTTAGTAGTTAAAAGTAGTTTAAAGTTAAAATAGATTTTGTTTGAACACTTACATACAATTGACCAAATTGGATCAATGTCTTAAAATAAATGTGCATAAGCCTTGATAACACAATTAAGATCAATTGGTTCTAGTAGAGGTATTTACTGTAATTTCATCAAGATGAAGTTGGATTGTACTTCAACATATAAAATTTAATTTAATGAGGATATCACTGCATGATATTATTTGCACCTTAGTCAAGTAAGAAAAGGTTTTTTTCATCAGTGTTTAGAAATGGTCTCTTTCATCAATTCTTCAAATGGTGTACAAATAAAAGCAGAGTCAACACTGTTAATTTGATAGTAAATTTATTTTGCAAAATTAGATCAAAAAGTCTAAATGCACCAATAATATCAATACACATTACAAGATCTGATGAATTATAAATCTGTAGCACATAATGTTTTGTAAATTACCCTGAATACAGTTAACAAACACTGCAATATGAAAGTGTCAACATATTTTGACTGGTAATATTTTGAACACAAACTGTTAATTATCTACCCTTGATTTAATATATATTATAAATTTAATGAACACAATATAATAATGGATAATCTTCAGTAGAAATCATTTGGTGATTTTCTGCTAAAATTATATAAGTATATCATTTCTAAACACAAATGCCCAGATTCAATAAAATTTGTTGAGGTATTTATCATTAATATTTCTAACAATCTCAAACCTTTTCTTAGTGTGACTGATAATTACAAAACAGATCCTGATACAATCATAATTCATAACAAAGTTAAGACATGGCATTGCAATGAACAAAAAATTATTTTAAGCCTTAGATATCTGGATCTTTGCTTAACTTCAAACACCACACAAGGAAAAAGGCTTGTATAAGAAATTAGAAAAGAATATACCAAGATATCACAAGACAGGCAAATTTGTTGAATAAACAAATAAATAAATGGTTCAGATCACTTGAGTATCATATACTTCAGTATATAAGTAAAATGAATTTGGTATCTTTACCTATAATGAAACAATGCCTATAAAATTAAGCAGTGACAAGTAACTCTCATAGTAAAGTTAAAATAGTAATGAAATTAATTAATTACATAGTGCAATGTCATCAATAATTTTAGTCTTTCACTTGAAGAATTATAATTATAGAATTTCATGTGTTTTCCTCAAATTTGTTGCATGCAATTAGTTCAGGAATGACCAGAATTTATATATTTACTCTAATTTACATTTATTTTGCAAAATCTATGGATGGGTTTTGACAGCACTTGGTGAGCCTTGTAACACTTACTCATATACATGTATACATAACTGCCAACTTTCAAGAAAATTGGATAAATTCTATGATATGGATCCTGATGATAGGACAGACAGAAAATACATTTACACAAGGTACCCCTTTTGCTTTCATAGCAGGAAATAATAAATGGAGGTGCTGAGTAATGATGAATGTGAGAGATAGATAGTAAACAGCAACTACATGTATAATGTTACATCATGATGAAAACAGAGGTTGGCAAGACCTGACTATTATATTTCTAGTCAAGTTGCTTTAACTTGGAAATAAAGTTTAAAACAGATGTACATATTAACAATTGAAGAAATCATAATCAGATTATGTTTGGTATTACTGTAAATGTCTAAATTTCAATATTTCATTCTCATTTAGAGTATAAATGACCTTGTTAACAATAAATAAACATATCTGATACAATGGTAATATCTGACATAATGATGTTACCAGATTTAATTTTCAAAAACAGAAATATATGTAAAAACTTGTTTATAATGAAATATCACAGGTTTTCCTATGGATTAAGTACCATTTCATCTCAACATGTTACTTCATCGTTTTCTCTTGTTCCATCTTTTCCCTGTGTCTGATTTAGCCTGTTTTGCTGACACAACATTATCAGAAGGATTGTGTTCTTTATGCAGGAAGTTCCACAACTGCTTTGCATTCTGGGAATGTCCCATTACACTGGTGAGTTCTGTTTCAGTAAAGGTACACAACTCTGCCAAATCTTGAACTTTATTCATTATCTGACGATAATTCTTAGAGTTAACTCCTGGCATTCTAAGTAACATATCCTGAAAAGTAATTAGGTTATGATAAGTTTATATTTACTTGTCAACCTTTTCTTTGGGTATATTTTTATATGATATCATAATAACGAGAAACAGCCAATTATTTGACAATATAATGTTCATTTCTTTCAGAGTAAAAAATGTATCAGTTAAATGAAACTGTATGGTTAAAATTAATATCTACTTTAACAAATAATATCAAAGTATTTCTGATTTTTAAATTCTTTTTTACAGCAGGTTAAAATATAAATATATACCTGAGGATGATGACTGTATTTATCTGACCATTCTATATCCTCTACAGATGATACTGTCATAGCTTCATTAGCATCTGGCTGCTCCCTTCCCATCTGAAATATACAACAAATACCATCTCATCTGAAATATACAACAAATACCATCTAAAATACACAACAAATGAAATATAAAACAAATACCATCTGAAATACAAAACAAATGAAAATACAACAAATACCATCTGAAATACAAAACAAATGAAATATACAACAAATACCATCTCAAATACAAAACAAATGAAATATACAACAAATACCATCTGAAATACAAAACAAAATGAAATATACAACAAATACCATCTGAAATACAAAACAAATGAAATATACAACAAATACCATCTCAAATACAAAACAAATGAAATATACAACAAATACCATCTGAAATACAAAACAAATGAAATATACAACAAATACAATCTGAAATACAAAACAAATGAAATATACAACAAATACCATCTCAAATACAAAACAAATGAAATATACAACAAATACCATCTGAAATACAAAACAAATGAAATATACAACAAATTCCATCTAAAATATACAACAAATGAAATACACAACAAATACCATCTGAAATATACAACAAACACCATCTCATCTGAAATATACAACAAATACCATCTCATCTGAAATATACAACAAATACCATCTCATCTGAAATATACAACAAATACCATATTAAATATACAACAAATACCATCTGAATTATACAACAAATACTATCTGAATTATACAACAAATACCATCTGAATTATACAACAAATACTATCTGAATTATACAACAAATACCATCTGAAATATACAACAAACACCATCTCATCTGAAATATACAACAAACACCATCTCATCTGAAATATACAACAAATACCATCTCATCTGAAATATACAACAAATACCATATTAAATTTACAACAAATACCTCCTGAAATATACAACAAATACCATCTGAATTATACAACAAATACCATCTGAAATATACAACAAATACCATCTGAAATACAACAAATACCATTTGAAATACAACAAATATTATCTGAAATATACAGAAAATACCATCTGAAATATGTACACTAACTTTCAAGACAGAAATTATTACTCAATCTTGTATGACAAAAAAGTAAACAAAGATGTGTTGACTCGTAAAGTTTCTTCAAAATATTTGTTGTTTTCTTTCCTTTTTTTTTTCTTTTTTCTGAGCCTGGCTAGACCTCCAGGCAGTAGCCTGACCAATGTTTATATATTGTTACCTTAATTTCCTCAAAAAGTTCTGCTGTAGCATATGGACTCTGACACCACAGTACTCGTACTTTAGGGAAATGAAGTGTCAATAATGTAAGACGTGTTGTTGTCTCCTGTACAGACACATCGTTAGACATCTGATATTTACCCTGAAAGTAGAATACAACATATTATTTAATTTTACCCATGAAATATGGTGCTATATCATTCAAATATATTTCATATTTGTAAAAAATAAATATGAAATATAAATATGAAAGTGGGCGGAGTCAAATCTCTTATTTATTTTGAGGGACTTCTTTCGCCATTTTGTTTAAAAAATCTGATAAATAAAAAACAACTTTTTGTTGAATTTTGTTTTGAAAACTATCTAGAATGATAGAAAATGGTCTAACTAAGAAAATAAATACGAACACCAATATCTTTAATTCAGTCATTAACGCTGTACAGACCTTTAAAGAGTTGTTTACGTGACATCAAAATGTAGCGCCAAATATCGCGTGCAAAACAAGATGCATCTATAAATAATACATGTATATTACTGTGCGCTGTACAATTGCAGTTGCGTAGCCAGCAAGAGGGTTCATAACCATTTTTCTTTGATATTGAAATTAAATAAAAAGGTTATTTTTTCGTTTTTTCGCACAACATGATAAAATGCCTCATATTTTCACTCGCCGTGCCGGCTCAAGAAAATATGTGGCATTGTATCAGGTTTCGTGATAATATATTTCATATTTCACTCAAACAAAAAAATATCCTCTTAATAGCTGATGGTATATCAAAACAGAGTGTAGTTTTAATACTGACCACCTAGGGCTACATCAAAATTCAACAGTTCAACTAGATAATATCACTTAGAGCATATATTATTTTTTGGTTGACTTCCAATGTAAATAGGGTGACTTTCTAGCTTTATAGGTGGACTACAACCTCTGTTGTACCTCTGTGCATTCATTAGTCATTGGTGCCTTAATGGAGTCAGTGGCCTTCCATAAACTAGCTGGGTAGCTTTATTGGAATTTAAACCCACAGCATGAGGGTCAAATAATTTGAAGTCAAACCATAACCACCAAGAACATGTCAGTATACAACATTTTTAACATTAAACATATATAACATCAATAATATACATGTATATAATTCTGCCTTTTTATATAAATTTAAAATTCCTCGGTAATATTTTGACAGACTATATATATATACAATTGTATATGCATAAACAAATTTTCAGGAGAAAAGAGAGGCATTTAAAAATACAAAAGAGAGTATAAACAAGATTTTGAAATTTCATTTAATGAATTTCAATAAATCAATGAGTTAGACAGGTCCATTTAAGATATTTGTCCCAAATAGTTCTAATTAAGTACAAAATTCATGTTTATTAAATAACAGAGAGATTCAAGGTCGCAACTATGGTGACAATAAACCATAATATTTAGGGTAACAATATAATTTTACCACTTATAAATTTCATCAAAACTTTCATTAGATATAGGCTTAATACCCCTTTATCCTAATACTTTTTTTCTTCAAAAAATATCTTTTTCAATTGAACTAACCTGTAGTGAGAATGATTTATTAGGATCAAACTCTATGAGAAGTATTGGACGCTTGTAATATCTACACATTGATACACACTGGTTGTAGAGGCGGCCATTGTTCAGGGAACCAATCAGATCAGAGACACTCTTCCTCTCTACACAAATGTCAGGAGTTAATATGTAATCTCCAACCTTAAAATAAACAACAGTACACATATGTCAGGAGTTAATATGTAATCTCTAACCTTAAAATAAACAACAGCACACATATGTCAGGGTTTAATATGTAATCTCCAACCTTAAAATAAACAACAGTACACATATGTCAGGGGTATATATGTAATCTCCAACCTTAAAATTAACAACAGTACACATATGTCAGGGGTATATATGTAATCTCCAACCTTAAAATAAAGAACATTACACATATGTCAAGGGTGGAAATATATTTTTCAAACCTAGATAGCATTTCAATGATAAACAGTAATATAAAGGTTCAAGCTATTAGGCTTGTATAGAAAGATTATAACACATAAATCTGAGGGCATTATGTTATATTCAGATACTAGAAAAGAAAATCTGTCAAAATATCACACATGTAAGTTGAATGGTAAATGGTATTTAATTTGGTAGCAACAAATTTGTCACAAAATTTGTAATAATGCATAAATTCCTCAAAAATCAAAAAAGGAAGGCTGAATTATGGAACATGTCCTCAATGCAGAATCAAAAGTCATAAATATAATTTGCAAGAAATTATAATTATTCTAATGATGACTTATAAAGAATAATTCAATTGTAAGAGGTACTACATGAATACATCTTAAAAATGTTGCTAAAATGTATGAACATATTACAGCATATACAGAAAAAAAAATAAAATGATTATTTTGTTGGAATTAAAATAATCTACCTCTAATGTCACTGGCTCTATATCCATACCTCTTCTATGAATCAATGATGGTAACTCACTTCTAAATTCTCGCATGTCAACTATTACCTGAAATATAAAACAATTTTTTTTCAAATGACAAATAACAATTTGTACACAGGTAGCAAATAATTCTGTATTATTTTAAATTTCCATTGGACAAAAACTCTGTTAATATTTTAATTACTCAATTTTCTATTTATAACCATACCTAGACTTATTGATGAATGTTAAAATTATTCAAACCTTGTTTTGTGAAGGATTTAGATTGAGTTGTCCCCCTTTCCTTGTATTTGATGTGGCACCAGCTGGAGCTATACCTCTTTCTAAATTTAGATCATTTTCCATTTTGCCATCTCTTTCTTCTGGTATAACCATTGTCTATAAGTAAAAATAAGAACAATTGACCAATGCCAATTAACTGTCAACATAAACTTACTAAATTTCAAAGTTAACCCCCTGTTAGAAATTTGACTTTCTCAGATAACTTTCTAAAATCTCAATATCACCAACAAGTGTTTGTAAAAAAATTTAATACTTCATATAATCAAAGCACTGAATGTACTGATGGGGAGGCTATGAGAGAATGTTTCAGACTTATAGTTTCTTTTCTTTTTGCTTGAAATATGCTACCAAAATAAAAAGATATGCACATTGCGCTATTTATCCTTACTGTTGTGTTCCACCATTCATATATATGGTTAATGTGGTTGACTATTCATTTTGTTAATATTCCAGAACATTTCATTGAGGTCTACATTCGGACTGTTAATCATACAAATTTTGAAAAACCTAAACTGTCAATAATAAATGGCATACCAGCAAGTATGACGACTGTTCAATATCAGATAACAATAACATTTTACAACTGACGGTTCCTTATCAAAATATTCTAGGACTGTTCATCATAAAATACTTTATGTCATTTTAATATTATTGAATGATAATAACAACTGCAAGTGATGCAACATTTTTATTGAACATAAAAATTATACACGTTTAGATGTACCATAATTGAGATCAATAAGATACTGTCTTGTGATGAGTATTAATATTCATGCTCTACGGACAGAAGGTTGTCTTCTCCAGAAGCAAATCTCGAATAAAATCACGTTTCAGAAAATTATTCCCATTTCATTACTGACGGCGTCGGATAATATTTAAGCTAAATATTTCTTGAAAAAATACACATCTGCAAAGCTTATTCAAAAACTGAATCAACCTAAGTGAAAATTGATCAGGAAGTTATATCTTCTTTTTTTACCGCCAACACACTCATTCATTTTATGGTAAGTTAATTGGTATTTTTAAAAACCTCCACTAGCTTGAAATATATATGCGGAAAAATCTGTTGTTTAAGGGTGTGGTTATTACGTAGGGTTTTCCCCTGTCGGACCATTTCCCGCAAATAGATTGAAAACCGAAACCGTCAGTTGCTTGAATGGTTGTTATAAATGGCGTGTTTTGGGAAGTTTTTGTTGAAACTTGATCCCCCCCAAATCCCTCCAGAGGCGTTGCACGTCGGCGGAGAATGGCAACACGGAAGGTCAAGTCAAGTCATCATAAACCAGAGGTGAATTGGGTTTACCGTCGTGACTTACTTCTGGAGGTTTGGCCCGCTATTAGATGCCGTTTTTTGTTGTCGTCAGGTCAGAAAGTTGATGCCTTTGACGTACTTGTCGTCCTCTTTACCACCAAAGAACGAAGAATGGGCTTCCAGGAAGAATCTGCTTGAAAAAGACGTCCAGATGCTATAATCTCGGACATATGGTTATTCCGGCGCCGAGTATAAATAAACTTAAAACACACTCACACTTTTGTTGAAAACAAAAAAAAAAAACAACAACACATTTTCTGTAGTAAATTTTCAAGTGTTGTAAAATGAATAAGAAATTCCTCTTATGCCGCCGATTATTTTTAGAACACAAACATAAAAGTTTTTATTTTTTATTTTTCAAATAAACATTAATCACTTGAACAGCGCGCGCAAATATCGTTTTCAATTAAAGTTTCGTAAGATATGTTAATGACTTCCCGATGCTCGCATGTAAGTAATTTGTATATGTATGCGTTTTTTTTTTTTTTTTTTTTTTTTTTTTTTTTTTTAATTAAAGCTTCTTATTCTTTAATATTTTTTTATATATCTCATAATCTGTATTGAAAATTTGAATTTTATTACACATGGACTATCAAACTATGATGTATGCCCTAGAATTGAATAAACTTTCTAATTACACAATACGGGGTCATACTGATCTTTGCGTCTTTCTCTGAAATAATTATTTCCTTGTTAAAAACATATTGACCACATATTTCTGTCAATTAACTGTTTCACTTAACTTCCGATTTTTGTTGTACGGAAACACATGTTTCTATTTGTGTTTTTCTAATCAATTCGAAATCTATAATCAGTTTAATGGGATCACCACCGGGTAAACGACTACTAGGTACTTTGGTCATGTTTTTTACCCCAAATATTTGAATGTTTCTATTGGGATTAAAATGAGCATAGTTAAGTAAACAACTGGTTGTATAAATCCTTGACCTGTCTAATTCTAATTATGAGATCAGTGAATATATAAGCCTTTTACTACAAAATATTCCTAAACAAAAGAGCACATGTTTTAAATTTATTCCTATACAAATAAAAGATCAGAGTAGGGATCTGTCAATTGCCAAATACTTTTATGTTAAAAGTTTGATTAATGAATTATGTAAGATGAAAAATATAAGTATTGCTTTTTTTGCTAATGTAAAATGTAATATTGTGCTGGAATTTTGTCGGAAAGTCCTATAAAGGGTTTTTGTAGTTAAATAGTTTTTTTTCGGCGATAATGGTTCAAGAATATAATGTTTTCAAAACTATATGTTCATCACCATCAGTGAATTTTTAGTTAAATGTATGCAAAATATTTACTAACAGCTATATGATATAGCGGTTTATGACCGTTTTCCGCGTACAGCCTCCTGGGGTGTACTAATAAGTTAGTTTTCCTTAGTTATCACGCAAGCATGATCCATGTCTCTGATGTAAGCGACAGTTTACAAGTTATTTGTCGTTAAAAAATATTAAGGTCTATAAATGGTTTATAACAACAAAAGAACATGCATGATATTGAGAATACGGTGTTGCAACGTTCTAGTTAATGACCCGTCATAGTAAACAGTTGGTCGCTGCGTAGTAATTGGAAAATTGTTATCAAAAATAATAAAGAATATTTGCCACTAAAATTAAAGCATTTTACTTATAAATTTTCATTTATGCTTTTTGTTAAAAAATTATTGATAAAGTTATTATTTTGAAGGGTTTTCATACCAGGACTATTTATTACAGACGTACGTATGCCTAAACCTGATTACCGCGGCAGTATGACGTCACGGAGTAGTGATTTAGAAAAAAATCAAGAATTTTTCAGAAGAATTAAATTATCTTTTACATATTGCAGATATTGAAATTAAAAGAATGAAAAATATTTTCATATTGTTAAACATGTCTGTGATGAGTGATGAGTCCAGTTAAGAAAAAATAAGGTACTATTTTTGCCGACCTATTACGGCGGAGTTTAAGATTTTGACGGGGGCAGTTATTAACTTGGGGTCGGCATAGCCCCCAAATTTATAACTGGAAAAAAACGATGAGGAAATGATCTGAAAAATTTGCCACACAAACATAATACAAGACCTACATCCAAATGGATAAACAAAAAAATCTTAAAATATAATTCCAACCAAATCAGTCAAAAACTATTGGGAGCCCCTTTTAAATTGATTTATCTTTTTTGTTAATACAAGTGTTGCATTCTTGTAAATTCTGTCATACAGCTTTTGCTTTTGATGCTTTGCCTTATTTCGACTTATATTCCAGGTTTATTCATCAAATTTTGGTTTTTAAATCATTAAAGGGTAAGTGGTTTTTTTTAAACAAGAGGGCCATGATGGCCCTTTGAAGTCGTCACCTGTATATAGGCTCCCGGGAAGCGGGGCCAGTTTTTAAACCCCAGGGCTTTTATTTGAAACAAACTTGGAGCACCCATTAAAGATATTTATGGCTTAAAATCTAAGGGTCTAGCTGGTCAAGGGTTTTTTTCTTTAAACCAATTAGTTAAAAAACAAGACCACAACCTTTGGGGCAGGGCCCGTTTTGACCACAAGGGCTTTTCTTTCAACAATCTTTGTAGACACTTACCTAGGAAAATGTTTCAATGCTTAATTTATCTAAAACTCTAGCTATTTTGGTTTTTTTTCAAAGAAGACTTTTAAGTTTTTGCTATCAAATATAAGGAAAAATCAATGTCAGCCCGGGGCGGGCCCAATTTTTGACCCCAGGAGGCTTTTATTTGAACAAACTTGGTAGACATCCATTAGAACATGTTTTTCATGCCAAATATCTAAGCTCTAGCTCTTTGGGTTTTTTAGAAGAAGATTTTTTAAGTTTTTACTATATGCATATAGGGAAAATCAATGACCCCCTGGGGCGGGGCCAATTTTGACCCCAGGGTTTTATTTTGAACAATCTTGGTTAGACACTCATTGGAAGATGTTTCAATGCCTAATATCTTATCTCTAGCTCTTTTGGTTCTTTTAAAGAAGATTTTTTTTAAGTTTTTACTATATGCATATAGGGAAAATCAATGACCCCCTGGGGTGGGGCCAATTTTGACCCCAGGGCTTTTATTTGAACAAACTTTGTAGACAACCATTAGAAGATGTTTCATGCTAAATATCTTAGCTCTAGCTCTTTGTGTTCTTTAAAAGAATTTTTTTTAAGTTTTTACTATATGCATTATAGGGAAAAAATAATGAACCCCTGGGGCGGGGCAAATTTTGACCCCAGGGCTTTTATTTGAACAAACTTGGTAGACATCCATTAAAACATGTTTCATGCCAAATATCTAAGCTCTACCTCTTTGGGTTTTTCAGAAGAAGATTTTTTAAGTTTTTTACTATATGCATATAGGGAAAATCAATGACCCCCTGGGGTGGGGCCAATTTTGACCCCAGGGCTTTTATTTGAACAATCTTGGTAGACACTCCATTAGAAGATTTTCATGTCTAATATATTAGCTCTAGCTCTTTGGGTTCTTAAAAAGAAGATTTTTTTAAGTTTTTACTATTTGCATATAGGAAAATCAATGACCCCCTGGGGGGGGCCAATTTTGACACCAGGGCTTTTATTTGAACCAAACTTGGTAGACACCCATTAGAAGATGTTTCACGCTAAATATTCTTAATTCTAGCTCTTTGGGTTTTTTAAAAGAAATTTTTTTAAGTTTTACTATATTGCATATAGGGAAAATCAATGACCCCTAGGGGGCCGGGCCAATTTTGACCCCAGGGCTTTTAATTTTGAACAAACTGGTAGACATCAATTAGAACATGTTTCATGCCAAATAT